ATGCATCCATCCATGCATCCATCCATCCCCCCGCCCGTCTATCCATGCATGCATGCATGCATCCATCCATCCATTCTCCCCCCCACCTGTCCATCCATGCATCCCCCCGCCTGCCTGTCTGTCCATCCCGGGTCCCTGGGAAGCGCGAGGCGCCCGGGAGCCGGATAGGACCTTCCTGCCTGGGGAGAGCTGCAGGCTTCACTGCCAGCGTTTCCATGCCCTGCGGCTCCCCCGTTTTGGGCTGTTTGCTCGGATGGTGCTAAAGCCATCGGGCTGCTTGGTGCTTCAGGCCCTGGCTGTGCCCGTGGGCTGCGCTGCTCTGGCCAGCTGCATCCACAGGGATAACGGGACTCTCAAACACAGGAGCGACGTGGCGCGGGAGGCACCAGCCTCGCCGCCCAGGGGTAGGAAGGCCGGTGCAGCGGGGGGCTGCGGCTGCGCTGCCTCCCAGGTGTTTGCAGGGTTTGCGTGAGCGGATGCAGGGCTTGGCACCGCACACGGGTTAACAGCAGTGCCCGGCTTGTCCCAGGGGAGGCGGCTCCGTGGCACCGACCCAAGACTCCCATTTGGAAGCCTTTCTCGCTGTCTGCTTGGCCTAGAAAGAGTATCTTGCAGCAAAATCCCAGCCTGCGTGTTCGCCAGGGCGGCGCGGGCGCCGGCACCCGCGGTGCCCCCGAGGGCGGCGCGGAGCCCCGCAGTGCGTGTCCCCACGCAGCGCCCTGCCGCGGTGGCACCCGTCACGCGTGCAGGGGGATATGTAGGTTAGCGCTGCGCCGTGCCGCAGTCGGCAACGCCGGGGAAGGGCGAGAAGCAGCGGGATAGCGGGGGTGTCCAGCCCGGGCACGCGGGGGTGTTCGGGCTGCGGGCTCGGCCCGCGGGGGATGTGAGGGGTGAGGAGGCAGCTGCACCCCCAGCACGTGCGTGGTCGGCACCGCGGCCGGTGGCTGCGGCGGGGGCGGCCGCAGAGCCCCGGGTGCCGCGGCAGGAGCCCCAGACCTGCCCGTTTGCTGAGGAGCTCAGCGTGGCAGACCTGCCGTTTGCCCCAGGTGTGGGTCCGAGCCCCAGACTGCCCGTCTGCTCTGAGGCGCCGTGGGGGCATCGCGGCTGCGGCTGAGCGCTCTCTGTGTCGGGACCTGCCGGCATCTCCGTGGGGTCTCCCGTGCGGCAGCCGTGTCCCGGCTTGGCCGCGCTAACCCATGGGCTGTTTGGCACTGGCACCCCAAGGCTGCCCTCTGCCCTGCTGCCCGTCGGGGCAGGGGTGTCGCCCTGGCGTGGATGGATCCCAGGAGCGCCCGGGACTGGGAGCTCCGCGTCCTCCCTGCCCCGTCCTCTCACCGCAGCCTCAGGGCGGCTGAGACCCCTCCAGTGCCACGGGCTGTGACACTGATGGGGCAGCAGCATCAGGCCGGGGGCGCTGGGCCAGCGCGGGGGCTTGTGTTTCACCCCGAGCTTTACCTGGAACGGGAGAGGCGGCTCCAAAGCGGGACGTCCCAGGCAGCCAAACCCCTCCCTGCACTGGCAGGTGCCTCCGCAGCGCCCGGGGATGCCGGGGGGGCCGGCAGCGCGGGCGGCACCCCAGGGTGGCACAGGGAGCGTGTCTCTTTAACGAGGCTGGGCTTGGAGCCACGCTCGCTCCTGGCACCGGCTGCGAGGGATGGAGCAGCGGCGCTGACGG